CTGATCTTACGTGTTTTGTTCCTGTGTAATTCATCGATCTATACGTGTAATAAGTCATCCATTGTATAAGTAAGAAAAAAATCTATATCTATACTTTGTAATTTTTGTTACTTTTAGTATCGATCTCGAATTCCACTGCTTTTCAACTTTAACTCTCATCACTCAGTTATCTCTTGCTTAATCTTCCCAAAACTTTTTAATTCGTTATCCTGACTACTATTTCTAAGAAAATTTTCGATCCTTATGTTTGTGTTTGGCATCAATTTTTATGCTTATTACTTATATACTAAATAAATCATTGTAATAAATTTATTGCACAAAATTGCTTTTCTCCATTACACCACAAGGAATTTGCATCGAAATATCTTCATATCAGCTAGCTTATTACAATTTTATCAGTCGAATAACACTAATACAAGCATTTCTTTCTAACTTATCTAACTAAATAGCTTTCATTTTTGTCTTTTAACCTTTAACCTTTTCTTATATTTACAAGTCTTAAATTAATTTTTTTTTAAATCAATGATTAATTTTGCATTTTTATTCCTGTAAAAATTATACAGACGGAATATTCAAAAGCATTCATAGCATTTCTAAATAGTTGAATAGTTTTTGTAAAATTGAAACTTTGCTTTTTGATTAAACTTTTTTGATTCATTTTTAGGCTAAATACTAGATCTTCATCTCCATGAGGATTATCAGTATTATTTTGGCGTCGCTAACTCAGGTCATTGCTTGGCCTGACCCTTATATTCGTTCAAAAGGAGCAATCTGGCCAAAACCTCAGTACATCAAATCAACTGGAAGTTTTCTTTCAGTAAATTCGGAATCATTTCAGTTTATTTCCAGTATTGGAGAATGCAAAATTATTGATAAAGCTATCATTCGCTATCAGAGACGTTTATTTGGTGATAAGCTCATTAAGCATCAAAAGCCAACAACTAATTTATCTGGAAAAGTAAGCTTATCTTGCTTCTCTCCTATTCAAGAATTATCAACATTCTAATCAAATTCTAATTAAAGTTTTAAAATTGATATGACTGATCTTTTTTGTTATTGTGATTATCCAAACTTGGCACTGATTAAAGTAATGCCTTAATAAATATCAAACTTCTTTCACCGCTTTTCATATTTACATTTTTAGACTCTCAAAAACTTAACTTTGTTCTGTGACGAAGGATGTACAAGTGATTATCCCCAACTTGGTATTGATGAAAGTTATGCCTTAAATATTACACAAAATACAGCGGTTTTAAGAGCAAACAAGGTATTTTATATTAATTATACTAGACATACTTGAAATGAAACAAAAATATGCTTGGAACTTAATTAAATAATAAATCGAATTATTAAATTGACGATTTTGAATTTGTCTTTAATATAAGTAAAGTATTAAAATTATAAATCAGTGCATTTTACTTCAGTAAAGTATAACAATTTAGGTTTGGGGTATTTTGAGAGGATTAGAGTCATTTGCTCAGTCATTTTTCGATAACAATACTAAAATAAACGAAGCTGAAATTGAAGACTATCCTCGATTTATTCATCGTGGAGTTCTTTTAGATACTTCAAGGTCTATTTTGTTTTGTGTTTTTCATTTATTATTTAAAATTATTTGATCAGCTAATATTTATAATTACTACTTAAAAAATTATTTGACCAGCTAATATTTATAATTACTACTTAAAAAGTTATTTGTAATTACTATTCAAAAAATAATTTTACTTCGCTTATATCTGAAATAATTATAAAATAATTATATGTATCCTTTTTGACCTTTTTAATTCCATTTTATGAATTAAAAAATTACTAAGAATATGTTTTAGTTTTATTTGTGCTTAATATATTATTTTAATGTCAAAATAATCTGATAAATT